AAAAACATGATATAGACAGATCTTGGTATGTGCAAAACACATACAATCTTAGATGTAAATATCTGCAGGAGATGACGCACACTTGTTTTTTTTGTTGTTTATTTATCTATTCATTTTTTCTTTAGTTAGTCCTTTTCTACTTCTTTTTTTTAAACTTATTTTTATTTTTTTAATTTCTTGTACAGTATGCTTGGCCTGACTATACCGGTACCGTTACAGAATACTCAGAACAGCAGCTATGAAACAAATAACTCGGTGTTGGTTAAAGCCTATCAGCCCATCAGTGCAAAAATGGAAACTATGCAAGAAATGTCAGAAATGGAGAGAATAACTTATAGGGTTAGGAATAAAGAGATATAGTACAGAATACACTGGTCCAAGTGGGCCAAATGGGAGGCTATTATTTAATTCATCCATTCATTTATGAATAACCATTAATGTAAAATATACTGAATGAAGTGGATAAATTAATAAACAACAATTAAAAAACATGATATAGACAGATCTTGGTTATGTGCAAACACACATACAATCTTAGATGTAAATATCTGCAGGAGATGACGCACACTTGTTTTTTTTGTTGTTTATTTATCTATTCATTTTTTCTTTAGTTAGTCCTTTTCTACTTCTTTTTTTTAAACTTCTTTTTATTTTTTTAATTTCTTGTACAGTATGCTTGGCCTGACTATGTGCTTGTGAGGAGGAGGCACGGGGCTCGCACTGGATGCTGCCTCTGTTGTATTTTGGGTTTGCATGCTGTGTGTATGTTTCTGTGTGTTGTTTCCTTTTCACCACAGGGTGTTAAAAATATAAAAAAAGATGTTGCAGATATGTGTGGGTGCAGTGATTGGAAACGTTAATGTATTGCAATAAAAGTATTTTAAAAAAGAAAGTGGGTAGTAATAGAATCAAAGTGGTCCGAAACATGCTCCTAAACCCTTTCTGGAAGAGGATTTGGGAGGGTTCAGGGTATGACAGGTACAGCAACCCACCTTGTAAGAAGGCAATAAGAAAGTTCAAAGTCTGGTCATGATCACTTTTCCTCATTTTAATTCAGAACATGCAAAACGAACAAACATTTCCCCTGTTAAAAACCTTTTTTCCCTTCACCTGACAGTGACACGCCTGCCACATTGCCAAGTGCTTGGCAAGGTGCCCACTGCCCCTTGGTGTTTACAGAGATAAACAAATACAAAACCAAATGCAAAATAACAAATAACAAGAGAAAGAAAAAAGCTCCCACAAAGCATGTATTTACTTTTGTCATAAAACACACTCTAGAAAATAAATGGTAAATATTTCTTTATTTGATAATGATGACATTGTATCAGAAATAATAAAGAGAAGACTATAACTGAGTCTCTTAAAACTTAAGATAATGTTAAGCAAAACGTATATAAATCCCATTAAATCTATTTCAGCAACAATACTACATCAGTATATTAAAAGAGAAACTGAAGCAGAAGCTTTAAGTGGGGTTAAGTTATTTACAAGTTCATCTTTTTTATTTATTCTTTTACAGATAAAGAAAAAAGATGGGTTATGCAGTAACTCTACCTGTAATGCAATCCTTCTCATATCATCAATATATGCAATTAATTACGTAGCCTGTAATGAATTAGATAAAAAAAGATTATGGATTGACAGCACTTATTCTTGGTTGTACAGTGAAATTAATAAACTGAGTTCAAATCTCATCCTGCTGCAATTGAGACTTTTGATTAGGTAGATCTGTTTCTTTAAATGCATAAAAAAATGAGATATCAAAATGATGAAAGCAGAAGATTATTTTATCTGGTGAGTCGATGTTATTCTCGAAGTTATTGTTGCTGAGTGGAGTCTGACAGAAGCAGAAGGTTCTCCAATATCATCATAGTACACAGAGCCTTCATCTTCATCATCAAGCACCTGTGAAAATACAAAAACATTTGAGTTTAAATGGAGGTAAGAAAATCCCTGTTTCCACCAAGCGGCCAGGTTTGGTGCGGCTTGGTACCGTAAACCATGATCTTGCTCGCATTTCCACAGCTAACCCTACACATAAAGACAGGGTTGGTAAGTTTTGAAAACTAGCATGATTTTGAAAGTAGCATTCCCTCAGTGTGCTGTCTGCACCCACCCCCTCCCCTCTGTGCTCCCTCAAAAGCCACGCCCCCTCACTTACATGCACAAGCGCCAATGGTCCAGAAGCGGACCTTACTTACTTACTTAATTACTGCTCTTGCACAGGAAGTAATGATTCTTTCCACCAATCATCGGACTGCAGTGTATCTAGCTTCAACCATTTGGGTTGGATCGGTACGCTTGGCACCCCAAGAGAAGGGTACCAAAAAAGTAGGACAATACAGATCAGTTATTTTGGTACTATTCCCAACTTTTGACAGTGGAAACGCCAATAAATGTGTGGCGTGCCAAACTGAACCGGCCGCTTGGTGGAAACAGGGCTAAATGTTACTTTTTTATTTGAACACATCAGTTCACATCAGGTTTCATTTCTAGCTCACAGTGTTGTCATAAGGTGGTCTCCGGGTCCCTGAAAATAAACAACAAAGAAACATTTCAGCTCTAAGTGTTCAGTTGGTTGTTATCAGTCTAAATAAAAGTTGATCTTGGAGTTTGGTCTGAGTTTTTCTCACCTCGAGTTCTGAAGAGAAGAACAGTGATCACAGTCATCAGGATGAGTTCAGCCACATGCAGAACCAACATCATGAAGTCCAGAGCAGAAGAACCTGTACAATCTGATGAACAACAGGTACATAAGGTCTGTAAATTATCTGTAAAATAAAATGTTTTGGCCATGCTGGTGAGGTCGACCACTTGAGTCTTATTCAGTAGATATGAGTGTACTCTAATAATCAATGTGTTTGGCTCTTGAAAATAGCATGATTTTGGTTTAAATTTAATTAAGTAGCAGTTTTTGGTTAATGAGATTGTACTAATTGTACAGAATCTGCAGTACAATACAAAATAGTGTCATCTGCATAGAAATGGGCGTGACAACCGTTCAAAGAAGAAGCAATGTCATTAATATAAACAGTGAAAAGCATGGGACCCAAGACTGAACCTTGTGGCACACCGCTATCAATGAACAAAAAATTCAGATTCAGCGTGAACTGACAACATACTGACGAATAAGTAATCCTAAACCAGGTACAACAATAGATGATCAACAGAAAAAGGTAAGTGTGTTTCCTGTCCCACCTCATGTGAAATCAATTCTTAAATACGCATGAAACGGAAATGGGTTGGGTTTGAGGCGTAGTCTATGTTCCTGAACCAAGTTTCAAAGACTATATTCAATTGCCTCTCTCGCTTTAAATCCTAAACCAAGCTGCTGCTATGCGGACTATAGTCTCTGTACCTTGGGCGCACGACATAACCACTAGGCTATCAGCTCCCCTGCCAGCCTTTGTTTTAGTATACATTTTTGTGTTGGAGAATGAGCATTCCTGTAAAAGTATCTAAAAGTTGTTTTTTTCTACATTCATTTATTAAAGAGGGATTTGAGTAAAACCAGACATATACAAATGTTGACTCACCAACTGGATGTTCTGTTGGAGATGTTCCTTCTGGTACGCTTTCTGCAGGGTCTAAAAACAGATGAACACAACTCAACAAAATGTTCAGCACAACACCCTTTGTCGTCATGTGATCATTAAAACTTCATCTCCTTGAAATGAATACATGTTGACTGGTTTGTTAAGTTGCACGATGGAGATATTGTGGAAGAGGGACAACAAGACTCAAATGATCTTCATCACCCATTCATTGGAACATTTCATAAAGGTACAAGACATTTAGGCCTAGTCTACAGGTTAGCAGGGTATATTTTTAAACAGAGGTGAAAAGAAAATGTGTCCACATGAAGTCGTTATGTTACAGCTGTCATGAGCACGCTCAGTCAACAACGTGTCCTTTAAAAGCAAAAATGTTCTATCCCATCTGCGATGACACCTACGCTTTCAAAAATACCCGCTTACATGTGGACTAGGCCTTAGACCTGAAAACATCTTGATATATAACTGCTCACCTTCAACAAAGAGACGAATTACAGCCGGAGTTGTTTGTATTTCTGTTGTCGTGAGCTGTTCACAGTAAAACCAACCAGCATCCTTCACTATGATCGGCTTTATAACCAGAGAACAATCCTCTGTAAGACTCAGTCTGCCTGATTTCACTACATCCAGCTGGATATAACGTTCCCATGATGGATGACGATAGTTCCAGGCAGTATTGTGACAGTTATTCTGGTCGCATTTCATGTTTATACAAGGCAGACGGACTTCATCTCCTTCTCTGACACCAAGGTGGAAGACGTTCACTTCAGCTGCTGCTGTCGAGAAAAAGAAGAAAATTAAACCGAAATGTTGATCGTAAATGTGAAGTTAACTTTGTGTCATAGGTTTCAAAAACTTTACTAAACTTATTGTTTTATTAATTTTTTTAAAAGAGATTGAACAAAAACTTTCAAAAGCTTTAAAAGTCAGTAGTCATTTCTTTGCCATGCAGCTTCTTTTTCTGTTGATTTAATATCAGCATTCTTACCTGTAAACTGAAGCAGCCATATGAGAAATAAAGACATTTGTTTCCTTTTGAGGTCTACCATTGTGTTTCTCCGTGCTCTCTCTTGCTCTCACGCTCCAAACTGTCATCTCTACACCTCCTTTTATAGAGAGACGCTGCGTCCACTTCCTGTGGTTACTATGATGTCCCTTTATTGAGGGCATATTGCTTTCACATGAGAAAATAAAATCTGCTTTGTTTTATCTGAATTATCAAGATCCCGGGTTCCTCACAGTCCCAACAAAAGCTCACAGTTATAACACTTGAAGTGTTAAGTCAGTGACAGAGTTAGATCACGATAGTGCGGACACGTAGAAGAACGGACTGCCAGACTCATATCAAAAGTGGTTTAACTGAGTTTACTGAGTTGAAAAACGTGCACTTCACGCGGAGCTGATCAGACTGCAGTGATCAACGCTGAAGGATCAATTCAAGTCTGTTGGTTTGGAAACATGTTATCATTTTATAATGCCTAACACTAAAATACCTGAAGATGCATCAAAGACACTCGTGAGCAGGTTTAATCTGTAATGAACCTTAACGAGTGCAAACTGTGCTGTGGCCTGACATACACAGATCTAAAGTCTCTCGCTCTCTCTCTCTCTCTCTCTCTCTCTCTCTCTCTCTCTCTCTCTCTCTCTAATGCACTGATCCCAGGGCAGGTAGAATAACTTGTGTCAAAGTTTCTATAACCTTGAACAGCAATATTTAAATATAATATAATAATCTCAAACAAAACCTAATTATTGATATTTTCTTCTGTACTGTGGTACATTTATATATTTTTATGTGCCAACATGCAGTTTGCAGTGACAGTTAACCCCTCTGCTTAATGTTAATGTTAAAGATTTCTATACAATCATACATTAGCCTATATATCCATGTGTTGAGTTATAGTGATGTTGGCAAAATTAGTCCGGCCCACTTGAGGTCTCATTTGAACAAATCCGGCCCCCGACCCAATAGAACTCTGACACCCCTGGACTAGAAGGAACGTTTGTAAATGCAAATGTTACAAAGGCAACTGCGTAAAGCATCCCCAAATGTTACCTTTTTATCTTCGGTCCTTAACCGTGGTACAGGGAAGCTTCTTGGCTCGTTTTAGGCTGGTAACAAATCGTCCGTTTATTCGGCACACAAAGCATGAGGAGAGACTCTGTTGATTCACTTAACCGGGTCACTTTATTCATAGACACCTGTAACTGCACACATACTTGTACTTGTTGCAGGAGACTCACGCAACTTCTCATCGCCTACATTTCCCATCAGCCACCTACTTAAAGCGACAGCCTCAGGCCGGTAACACGAACAACAAAAACAGTCAGTATTGTTTGGTTCTATACAGTCTTTCAGTGAGCAAAACTTCCTCTTGTGAGTTTGGCTGGCAGGTAGTGGGCAGGGCTTATTCATTAACAGTGGCCCAGGTGTGTTTAGTGTGTGAAATAACAGCATCCAGGGTGGATCTCAGCGCTGAGCCAATCAAGTGTGACCTGACTTTAAAGCAACAGTGAAGACAAAAATCCACTAAATCTTGTTTTTGTTCCTTTTTGTTTGACCAACTGTTACCTACAACAAAAAATGAGCAAGCTGTCTGCTTGGGCTGGCTGCTGACCAGAGGTAAGCCCCTACCCTACACCGTCAGCCAGCCTATGTTTTTTATTTATTTTTCGGGCCTTTTAGCTTTTATTGGATAGGACAGCGTAAGAGAGACAGAAAATGTTGGGAGGAGACAGCAGGGGATGACATGTATCAAAGGGAAGAGGTCGGATACGAAACCAAGCTGCTGCTATGCGGACTATAGTCTCTGTACCTTGGGCGCACGACATAACCACTCGGCTATCAGCTCCCCTGCCAGCCTTTGTTTTAGTATGCATTTTTGTGTTAGAGAATGAGCATTCCTGTAAAAGTATCTAAAAGCTGTTTTTTTCTACATTCATTTATTAAAGAGGCATTTGAGTAAAACCAGACATATACAAATGTTGACTCACCAACTGGATGTTCTGTTGGAGATGTTCCTTCTGGTACGCTTTCTGCAGGGTCTAAAAACAGATGAACACAACTCAACAAAATGTTCAGCACAACACCCTTTGTCGTCATGTGATCATTAAAACTTCATCTCCTTGAAATGAATACATGTTGACTGGTTTGTTAAGTTGCACGATGGAGATATTGTGGAAGAGGGACAACAAGACTCAAATGATCTTCATCACCCATTCATTGGAACATTTCATAAAGGTACAAGACATTTAGGCCTAGTCTACAGGTTAGCAGGGTATTTTTTTAAACAGAGGTGAAAAGAAAATGTGTCCACATGAAGTCGTTATGTTACGGCTGGCATGAGCACGCTCAGTCAACAACGTGTCCTTTAAAAACAAAAATGTGGACTAGGCCTTAGACCTGAAAACATCTTGATATATAAATGCTCACCTTCAACAAAGAGACGAATTACAGCCGGAGTTGTTTGTATTTCTGTTGTCGTGAGCTGTTCACAGTAAATCCAACCAGCATCCTTCACTATGATCGGCTTTATAACCAGAGAACAATCCTCTGTAAGACTCAGTCTGCCTGATTTCACTACATCCAGCTGGACATAACTTTCCCATGATGGATGATAATAGTTCCAGGAAGTATTGTGACAGTTATTCTGGTCGCATTTCATGTTTATACAAGGCAGACGGACTTCATCTCCTTCTCTGACACCAAGGTGGAAGACGTTCACTTCAGCTGCTGCTGTCGAGAAAAAGAAGAAAATTAAACCGAAATGTTGATCGTAAATGTGAAGTTAACTTTGTGTCATAGGTTTCAAAAACTTTACTAAACTTCTTGTTTTATATATTTTTTAAAAGAGATTGAACAAAAACTTTCAAAAGCTTTAAAAGTCAGTAGTCATTTCTTTGCCATGCAGCTTCTTTTTCTGTTGATTTAATATCAGCATTCTTACCTGTAAACTGAAGCAGCCATATGAGAAATAAAGACATTTGTTTCCTTTTGAGGTCTACCATTGTGTTTCTCCGTGCTCTCTCTTGCTCTCACGCTCCAAACTGTCATCTCTACACCTCCTTTTATAGAGAGACGCTGCGTCCACTTCCTGTGGTTACTATGATGTCCCTTTATTGAGGGCATATTGCTTTCACATGAGAAAATAAAATCTGCTTTGTTTTATCTGAATTATCAAGATCCCGGGTTCCTCACAGTCCCAACAAAAGCTCACAGTTATAACACTTGAAGTGGCAAACATTCAGAGTTTATCAGTTAATATTTTGGTTTGGGTTTTGACACCTGGGGAGATACTCGTGTCTTTATGATACATAGATGGCATTATTGTATTATTACTAGCTGTCAACTTTGCACATGCTGCTCCGATCTGTCTGCTCAGCGTAACAATCCCAATGCATTGTGCTACTGCCTCTCCATAGGAAATAAATAGAAAGCGTTGAGACACTACCCGTCATCGGGACTGAGACGTCGATGTTGTGCAGAGAAATGCAAACAGCTCGTAATTCGTACTTCTCTGATAATAATCTTGTTAATTCACATGAATGCAATACAGAAATCTGAAGTTTTGAGATTTAATTTCTGATAATTGTTTATTTTTATATTTCATAGTGAAAACAGTGTACACAGCTTTTATCAGACTTTTACAATGTTTAACAGTTGCCCTAAACAGATGATCAGTGAGATGAGATGCATCCACCTCAGAGATCACAGCAGACCCACAAAGAGCCTGCAAATCTTGTCCCTGATTACGGAGCAAATTCATGTTTTAATCTCATGGAGTGACATGGAAACTGAAGTATGTTTGAAAGTTCATGTCACCAACCCGATGGTGCATTTTTCACCGTGATGTTTGCAACATCCTGGGAAGAACAAAAAACAAAACTTGGAAGTTAAAACAGTGAGAATTGTGATCCAGGTTGAAGTTTGCAAACCTGCGACATGGTGTCTTTAGAGGTCGTTTATTAAGACTACAGAGAGGATCTTTGACAGTAAACATGAACAAATGTGCGAATAGGCAAACGCCTTGACCACCACAATTTTGAGGTCTGTTGATTTTCAGTTCTGCTTTTTCTGAGAACTGAACAGGAAGTATTTCACTCAAAGTGCGGTTTAAACAGCAGAGCTCTGTCGAAAACCAAAGTTAACCGCTTGAAGTTTTTAGGTCAGTGAGCTCATTGCAAACAAACATTTGAATGTTGCTTAGCACCCGGACAGAACAACCACCAACAACGTACCATTTCATTAATGCACCCTCTAAATAACATGAACATACATGACAATGATTTGAGACTTTAGACTTGTTTTTGTTAGTCTTTAGGGCAGTTGCTTTCTGCGACCTTAAAGGTCACATATTAAGCAAAATCCACTTCACCATGTTTCTCTAACTCTAACATGTGTCTCTAGTCTGTCTACAGACCCCTCAATTATGAGAAAAGTCCATCCTCTCCATCTTTTTCCTGCTCCACTTTTCAGAAAATGTGTGCTCAAACAGGCCGTTTGGCGATTTTCCCTTCATGACATCACAAAGGGCAGTAGCCCCTCCCCCAGGTGGGTGACACTCCCACAGCTAGGTGTTTGTTCTGCCCTCTGAGTCTGCCTTCTCACCGTAAACAATAGGACATGGAGTGAGAAAGCCCTTCCAGAGAGGGGGCGTGGTCAGACACAGCTCATTTACATATTTAAAGGTACAGACACAGAAACAGCCTGTTCTGAGCAGGGCTGAAATAGAGGGGTTTATAGACATGATCAAATACAGGATCAGAGTGGATTTAGAACAAGAAACTTCACACACATGTTTTGGGGAGCTCTGAGACTTACTTAAACTGATTGATGAGGAGGAGAATATGTGACCTTTAAGGTAATGCCTGACAAAAGACCAACAAGCCCATGGGCGCTAACAGGGGTGCAAGTTCATCTGAACACAAGGTTGTTGCTGGGAGTGCAAACGGCAACTGCAAATGAAACTTGCCCTGCACCCAGAGACACTTTGCAATTGTTTAAATTATGACCCAGAACGTTTTTACCAAAGGCACAAAAGGCACAAAAGCACAATGCAGCTGTTTAAAATCTTTGACCACTGATATTAAACATCACAAGTCAATGGTGTAGCTGATGATCTGCTCTGGTCAAACTCCCGCAGAAGGTCTGACGTTTTCATAGTTCTCTGTATCAACATCATGATCGTCATCCACCTGTGAGAAAACTGCACAACACAATGAATCGAGAAGTTGAAAAACAGTGGGACAGACGATGACTCAACACGCAGAAAACGCAGGTTGTTCAAAATCAGTTGTTCTGTGAATGATCTCACCTTTAGTTCTTGTCCATACGTTGACCGTCACAACAGTTATCATGAGGGCTGACAAACCCACCGACACAACGATCAGCCTCCACCGGGCTGAAAAGAGAACGAAGACATGAATACTTGGGTCCAGATTTCTTGTGCTTAGTATAGTTTTATACATTTTACATACAGTTAAGGACAGTGTGCATTTTCTATGTTTTCCTTGAGAGATCCGGGGTAGGGATGTATGTGGGGTTGCCACAGGGTGAGGGGAAGGTTTGGAAGTTTGATTGATCCTGATGTTTGCACATATGCACTTTTATACATGTATGTGCTCTAGGGGGTGGTTGGAGGTAAAGGGGAAAACGGTTGTAATATATGATGTAATTTCTTTGTAAATTTCTAAATAAAAAATTGATCACAAAAAAGAACAGGGCAAAGCATGTCAATATTGCTTCTCTCTCACCGGCCAATCAAAATGAAGAGGGGGCGGGACTTACAACATCAGCTTTATCAGTAACAATGGCGGGGGAGACACTAGTCTGACTCGTCTTTTTGAGGTTACAATTTCAGGTGTAGAGCTTTCTGCTGATTGCAGGACATCACTCCTTTAAATTGTTTTCATGTTTACTTGTAAATTTAAGCAAATATAGATTACGAGCAGAGACAAGCCCCATCACCTGCCTGGTCCTTATACAAGCAGAGACACCCACCACCAGCCCCATTCCCTAGCTGGGCCTCACAACCACCTCCACTTCCCTCTCATCAATATTACCCTTTTCCCTCATACCATCAGTACACTAAGCCACCATTCACCAGTGGAGACACTTGAAGACCAGACCAGGAGCGTGTAGCAAGAGGGGAGCTACCAAAACAGCAGCAATGCAAAGAAGGACTACCACTGTGAGTGTAAACTATGTGGTCGGTCGAAAAAGAAAAAGCACTGGTCATACCCACCTGAAGAGAAAGTGGTACTGTCCAGCATCTGGACAGAACATCACAGAATGGAAAGAAGCTCTCCAAAATAAATAAGTTATATATATTGTTACAGTGTGCAGTTTGAGTTGTTTTGAAAATTTGATACATAGATTGTTGCACATTTTTAAGTGCTGTATTTCTGTACTTTGAAAAAGCACAATAATTTACTGTGGACAAATCTCAGTGTGTGCTTTGTTTGTTTGTTTTCAGTATGTTTGTCAAGCCCACCAAAGATCTTTTTATAAGATGCATGAAGAAAGGTGTAAATTATTTTTTTTAATTTTTTTTAACTTGGAAGTTAAAACAGTGAGAATTGTGATCCAGGTTGAAGTTTGCAAACCTGCGACATGGTGTCTTTAGAGGTCGTTTATTAAGACTACAGAGAGGATCTTTGACAGTAAACATGAACAAACGTGCGAATAGGCAAACGCCTTGACCACCACAATTTTGAGGTCTGTTGATTTTCAGTTCTGCTTTTTCTGAGAACTGAACAGGAAGTATTTCACTCAAAGTGCGGTTTAAACAGCAGAGCTCTGTCGAAAACCAAAGTTAACCGCTTGAAGTTTTTAGGTCAGTGAGCTCATTGCAAACAAACATTTGAATGTTGCTTAGCACCCGGACAGAACAACCACCAACAACGTACCATTTCATTAATGCACCCTCTAAATAACATGAACATACATGACAATGATTTGAGACTTTAGACTTGTTTTTGTTAGTCTTTAGGGCAGTTGCTTTCTGCGACCTTAAAGGTCACATATTAAGCAAAATCCACTTCACCATGTTTCTCTAACTCTAACATGTGTCTCTAGTCTGTCTACAGACCCCTCAATTATGAGAAAAGTCCATCCTCTCCATCTTTTTCCTGCTCCACTTTTCAGAAAATGTGTGCTCAAACAGGCCGTTTGGCGATTTTCCCTTCATGACATCACAAAGGGCAGTAGCCCCTCCCACAGGTGGGTGACACTCCCACAGCTAGGTGTTTGTTCTGCCCTCTGAGTCTGCCTTCTCACCGTAAACAATAGGACATGGAGTGAGAAAGCCCTTCCAGAGAGGGGGCGTGGTCAGACACAGCTCATTTACATATTTAAAGGTACAGACACAGAAACAGCCTGTTCTGAGCAGGGCTGAAATAGAGGGGTTTATAGACATGATCAAATACAGGATCAGAGTGGATTTAGAACAAGAAACTTCACACACATGTTTTGGGGAGCTCTGAGACTTACTTAAACTGATTGATGAGGAGGAGAATATGTGACCTTTAAGGTAATGCCTGACAAAAGACCAACAAGCCCATGGGCGCTAACAGGGGTGCAAGTTCATCTGAACACAAGGTTGTTGCTGGGAGTGCAAACGGCAACTGCAAATGAAACTTGCCCTGCACCCAGAGACACTTTGCAATTGTTTAAATTATGACCCAGAACGTTTTTACCAAAGGCACAAAAGGCACAAAAGCACAATGCAGCTGTTTAAAATCTTTGACCACTGATATTAAACATCACAAGTCAATGGTGTAGCTGATGATCTGCTCTGGTCAAACTCCCGCAGAAGGTCTGACGTTTTCATAGTTCTCTGTATCAACATCATGATCGTCATCCACCTGTGAGAAAACTGCACAACACAATGAATCGAGAAGTTGAAAAACAGTGGGACAGACGATGACTCAACACGCAGAAAACGCAGGTTGTTCAAAATCAGTTGTTCTGTGAATGATCTCACCTTTAGTTCTTGTCCATACGTTGACCGTCACAACAGTTATCATGAGGGCTGACAAACCCACCGACACAACGATCAGCCTCCACCGGGCTGAAAAGAGAACGAAGACATGAATACTTGGGTCCAGATTTCTTGTGCTTAGTATAGTATTATACATTTTACATACAGTTAAGGACAGTGTGCAT